TCCTAAAACATGCTGCCAAGTGTTTGAATTTGTATGGAATGTTGTCTTCATTTTATCTTGTGTTTCAGTCCAAACAAAGAGGTTTAACCAAGTTGTTCCATTCCTGATGATGGGACCTTCGTTGAATCCTGTGAGCATGTGTGGTGGTTGTATGTGATCTGTCTGTCATCTGATGTGTATCTATGGACTTTGTGATTGAATGCATGTTTTGTAAATGTGAAGTGTTTTGCTATTAAAAGAGTAAAATGATGTTATTGTTCTGTTCATTGTGGAAGTATTCTGGTTGGTTTGTAACTTAGTTTTAGCTTATTTTTTACTAGATAGTTTTTACATAACTAACAAAAATTAAAATAAATTTAAATTAAATTTTTTTTTTCCTTTTCTGTTTTTCTTTCTTTTCCTTTACCTACAACCTTGACTTTAACAATGCACGCCAAAAAGGGCAATGGTAAACCCCATTCACTTTGGCTCAATATCTTCAAATAACCATTATAAATATAATAATGGACACAAAGCTCCAACAATTTTCTTTTATTGGAAGGTTTACAAGACATCAAGTTACACAATGATTGCACTACGTAACTAAGTCAAGAATTGAACTAAAAAAAACACTAAGTCAAAAAAAAAGTGTCAATAGCAATCAAGTTACACAATGAAAGTCACTACAACTTTGTAATGACAAGTCCAACAAACAAGAAGTGATCTGCTTCAAATAAAGTTACTCTCTCTATTGCACTGTCTAGTGACAATAGCAATCAAATACAGCTCAAGTTACACAATTCAATAAAACAACATTACATAAAGGTCTGTTTTTAACAAAGTCATGGCTTCTTCAGTGCTAATGCTAACACCACAATGGAATAAGTTACATCTGTTTCTTTTGTTCAGCTGAAGACAACAGTCACTGAATGCTTTACTCAACTGCACAATAATACTCTGGAAACACCACTCCAACTAACCTCGCCTGGTGGAAGTTGTGGTCACTTCCGTGGCCTCCTCCCATAACCACCTACAAACACAATTGAAAGGTACAATGTCACTGTTGATCTAGGGAGTTGATCTAAGGATGCACAACGACAACAATGGTGTCACCAGTCTCTTGGTTTTAAAAGTCTTGATGCTATCCAGAGTCAAAGAGCTGTGACAACAACACATAGCACTCAGTCATTTGCACAACATCATCAGTCCACGTCTTGGACTCCAAAACAAACAAATTTCATTACTTCACTATCTGGATGGCTGACTTAGAGTCTTTAACAGCCTCACACAGTCAACTTTGGACTACGCAAACTTTTATTTAAGCACTAATCTCTCTTCAAGGCCTTAAAGTCACAGTCAAGTCACTTAGCTTTATTGGACTGCAGTGTGTCAACATTGAAAAGTAACAAAACCAAAACAGACAGTTCATTTCAAACTGTACCACTCATTTCAAGATCTACTTCAAATATTCTAAAATCTATTTCAGTATAAATACATAAGTCAGTGGATTCACATTACGAGAGATCTGTAGTACGGACAGATTGACCAACATGCCTAGACTGAAGAAAAATTTCATTGTAAATAAATGGGACAAGTGGACACAAAGTAACCCACAGCAAATTGTCAATGTCTATTTCAGTTTACACATACTTGTATAATAAACTACCAATAAATACCTTCAAATAAATTTGTTTCCATTCACTTATTTCTGTTGTTCTACTTTGGAGCACAAATGACTGGAAGGTCATCTCACAATTCCATACATATATAAACAATAACTCTACTATGTTAAAGACTTCTGTTGGACATGACATTTTCACTCAACAGAGGAGGTGGGCTAAGACACAACCTATCACCCACATACTGAAACTATTCTGATGAGGATTACAACGACCCATCGGACTGCTAACGACTGTTTCCACTGCCCACCTGACAGGAGGGACCTGAAGTAGCTTTATTTGTTGTCACACCCACAGTATATATTTGCTGTACTGTAACCTCCACCAGTTAGAACTGAAGAAGCCTCTTGGATGAGAGGCCAAACGTCTTCTAGAAAACATTTCATGTCCAGTTACCTAACGGAACTCTTCAACCATGACCTGGATGACTGAGAATCTTCATAGACAAATCTCTTCTTTATTCACCTTCAAAAACTAAAAACTCAAGTTTCATTTTTAAGGTTTAAAACAAATCTCTTCTCTGGGCGTTCTTCTTGATGGCCAACCAGGTGTCATTCTGATGACTTTATAACATTTTTCAACAACTGTTATGACAATCAATTACATAAGAGTTCTCACCTTGGCGGTGTTGTCCTTTGAGGCACTGATAAATATGGTGAGGTCTACAGTCATCTGGATGTCGATGTGCCTGCTGTGCTCCTTAGCTTTCTTCAGGACTTCTCTGGAATGTTGACAAATAAACAAAAAAAAAGTTCCCCATTATCACAAGCTCTACAAAAGATTCTGTCGGTGATTAATTATTTCCTTCCTCTATTTGATTTCTATAAAAGTGTGTGCAAACAATTTCTTTAGCACTAATCAGGCAAGACTGTGTACTATCTGCAGTCTACTTTATTTTACGGTGTTAATTTGTTTACATTGTGTGTGACGATTAACTACCGATCTATTATGGATCACTCAAGTCGAAGAAGTTCATGAAACACTGATAGCCCATCTGCTTGTCTGTGGAAAACATGTTGATGTTGCCGCTGAAATCGAACCCGCATGCTCTGACAGCAGACAATAAAGAAGGGACATGGAACCAAAATATAAAACACTTGAGAGAAAATTATCCAAAATACACTTAAACACTCATACACTAATATGTCTGCTGGAACCACCTATATAGCTTTCATATATATTTATTTTTTATACTAGTTCTGTTTATATACACATAGGTATAATGTGGTATAGTTTTCTATACATACACATCACACCAATTTAGTTTAGTATAACAATAGTACAACAAAAACATAATCCATAATAACATCCACTATAGTTTCCCCATATTTACTAACAGTGTGCTGCTACTTATGTTTGTATTTTACTTTATTTGTGTGTTTTTATTGTTATTTTGCTGCTGTAACTCCTGAAGGATTCACAAAGTTCTATCTATCTATCTAAACATTTTCTTTTCACCCACTGGTCTCGCAGTCCCACAGTCAACAGCTGTTTCAGCTGATCCTGTCAAAACATTTTTGGAGTCGCCTGAGAAGAGCCAGTTAGGGAACGTGTATCGTTGTAGCACGCTAGGGTCAACTGTGTCACGATTACACATTTACTTGGTACAATGACTGTCAAACAATTAATCACAATATTACAATTATTATGCTTTTATTGGTTTCACAGCACTACTGTTGCATGCTAACATAACCTTTAATGTCATAACAATCGTTGAAGTTATGCCAGTTCTCTTGTTTATTTCGTTTATTGTTTGAGTTCACATTGGTTATATTTTCTGACTACTCAGGAAATGTTAGGGGCTTCTTATCGCTAATTATTAGTGATAGACTTATGACATTATGGTGAAGACACAATAGTGAGTGAAATAAAATGAAAGGATACAGTGACAGTCGATGCAGCGCACAGCACCGGTGTGTGCATTTTAGGAATCGAGTCATACCACATGTTGGCCACCTGTGTGGGGAGACATTGTTGAAGTTAAATATTAAAAGGCTTCAATTCAATCATGGCATTGGTTTGCTCTAACACTACTGGTGTCACCAATAACCTTAGGTAGAAACTCATGTTGCACTGCTTTCCTTATAATCTGAATGAAAATTATACTGGCCTTACTCGTGTCCCCTTTTCATGATTACATTATGATTTTTATATCATACACACTATAGGGCACATAGCCTTATATTTGTAACACAACTGCAATTAAAACTAGCAGAGGATTACTCTGCTACTCGGATCTTTAGCGACGGAAAACTGAAGGTCTCCTACGTTTTACTTCATGCGTGTGGTGGAGCGTTCGTTGCCCTGCAGTAGGATGGGTTTCTGTACAGAAAAGCCACATTTGCAAGTTCATTTCATATTTTCAAAAAGATGCATCAGCCCAGCACAAACTCCTGTCAAAGGCCAATTCCTTATTTACCACGACAACTCTATATTCATTATTTAGAACGAAAAACTAACTACGAATCATTTAAACTTCAAAAGCTAACGTTAGCTGCCGAGACACATGCTAGCGTAAATTGCACTAACGGTCCCGACCGAATGACTAACATTTGAAACAAAATACAACGGACAATTGTTTGCAAAAACCCACCATTACAATCAATCAAATGTAGCCACCGTTTTAACTTGAACACCCGCTTGAAGTCCAAATGGCTAACACTTGTGTCAGGTACGCCGGATCCGGAAATAAGGGCCGTGCAACGTATTACTATTGCCGTTATACAAACGTTCCAATATCAGCGCGCCCCCTACAGTTGACCGCTGACATTCACATTCTTTTTTTTCTTGAGTTGGATTATCACAGAGATATATGTTACAGCAGTACTGTAAGGCAGTGCTGCCAAAGTAGAGAATATGACCTGTTTTTGTCCCTATAACACACTTCTGTACTGCATCATTATGTGATTAATATTCACATTTAACTCTGCTAATACAGGTTATTAATACAACATGCCTTCCTGTTTGTAAGTTTGTTTATATGTGATTCTGTATACAATCCATCCATTCTTGTTGTTTTAAAAATCTTAATCAGAGTGGCCGCTGTTTGTACTGTTGACATCATCCATGTCGAGGCCTGTGGCAAGATAAATCATATATCATTTTCAAAATCATTACAGTGGGTTATTCTTACCCCTCTACTGTATAGGCTGTCAAGTTGCTGATGTTTGACATTAAAAGAATACCTGAGCTTCTAACTGTTTCCACCCTGTGGTTTGTCACTGATACACTATACAGGTTTATGTAAATGTCTATTGTTGCTGCAACCAGCTCTGGCTATTTCGTGAGGTCTCCAAAACGTTTCTCGATCCCTCTCTGCAGGGCGTGAACAAGAGGTGTACACATTTTGCACAAGATGAATCCAGCCTCTTCAGCTTGTCCCGCAACTGGTACGAGGCCATATGTACAGATGGTTACTCTTGGAGGATATTAAGGGCCATGGCAACAGGCTTCATCACAGCAGCGTACTTGACCAAAAATCCCATTTCAGCTGGATTCAACCTATAAAAAATGTAATGAAAATAAATTTGTTAAAGTATTTCTTTCAAATAATCCACCATTTCCAGCCTGGGATCAATAAAGTACATCTGTCTATCTATCGTCACACCACCATGCAACGAAAATAAGTTACTTGAGACAGTTGGATTCACCCATTAAACAGCAACATTTTTATTCTTTAAAAATAAAATATAAAGTTTGTCAACTTACATCTTTTTTTTAGTGATGTTTAGATTTTAGGTCAAACTTACCACAACATGTTTCCTCAGGTTAGACGTTGAGTTTTTGAATGCTTGGCAATATGTTTTACAGTATAAACTTGCATTTTGAGGCATTTTTGGGACTTTTTATTTTTTCCATTTTTTTCATGATAGTAAGACTATAGTCTTGCTTGTTTTTGGTAATACTTTCACATGTTCAGATATGATGGTTTTTGTAGTTTTTAGCACTTGGCTACATGTTTTGGGGCACCTGCAGTTATTGCAGCTGCATGACTTCACTTCACATCATCACAACCGTCCTTCTGAAATGCCAAGATAACCACCATGAAGTTTTAATAAAATATTTGTTAAATGACAAAAAAAATGACTTTGGTATTAAAACAAGTCTTGCAGCAAAATACTTAACAGATAATTTGAATGTGCAATATTTGTTTTTACTCTAGAAAGGGTTGACGAATACAAAGTGTCCTGCAATATGTTGAAATTTGATGTTAACAAGACTGTCGTTGACATGGTAAAATTGACATTGATTATCTGTAACACAATGCAATATGCTTTGACAGTTTCATTAGGTATGTAACATAGGTAATGATTATTCACTACTTCATTGACGCTTCTAAGGTATATATATAGATCCCTCTTTAGTCATCTGACAGACAGAATTGACCTATCAGAAAAGCATACTGTGTTCAAAAAATAAACAATCCCTTGACAGATTTGAATACAGACATACGTATCCAACAGCTTAGCTGATGGATTTGTATGCGGGTGTACACATTTGAAAGAACACCATTCCATGTATCACGCTGAGCCATGACTACATAAATGGCTTTTCCACTGTTTGGTAGAGAATAAACATGTGTAGCAGTTTCCCTTCTCTCTTCCAGACTTATAGCTGAAACTGTTTATTTCTGACAGTTATAATGATTATTAATGAATCAACTTCACCTGGTCATAAATTCAAAGTGACAGGTAATATTAGTTGTTCTGTCCTGATAGGCCATTTATTTGAGTTTTTGAATGCTTGGCAATATGTGCAATATGTTTTTATTCTAGTCATTATTTTTGCATTTGATGTGCTGAATAGCATGTTCAAGAAACTGAAGTTTCCAAAAGGTCGGCATGAACAGTAGACGGTGTTAACATATTTTGACAAGTTACATTAAGGTATTATTTTTTCTTAAACAATGGAGCTATTGGGCCTGCCACACAGCAGCCAAGAGTGAAAAAAGAGAGGAGATCTAATGAATTATGCAAAGAGAGCTTTCTCTAAGCCTGACAGTATGAAACCAGCCTGGAGAAAAATTGTAAGAGAAGTAGTCAGTGCAGCCGTCACAAATCCCCCCATCCCAATCCCCCCAGGGACCACTGAGGGCAAGGCCTGTCAGTCAAGCACTCTCTGCCTAACCGTAATCGGGGGACAGTTCCGTGAAGCCTGCAGGTCTGATAAAGTGTTGAAAGATGCCCAAGAAACTCCAGATTCCTGACAGGCAGGAGGACGGGGGAAGGAACAGACCCAAAGAGCAACCTTCAGCACACTTCTTTTGCTGGCATTTTTGTACCCCCCTCATCCACTTGCTCTGTAACCACAGTACAAAGCAAGAGCAATCCCACAATCATCAGACGTGACCCTGCTGAATGTGCACAGAGGAGTGAATTCACAATCATCCACAGCCTGACCTCTGCCTCGTTAGTTCAGGGAGCAAAAGAAATGTCCTTTTTTATTTTAATGAGAATGGTTTTCTCTCTGGCAGACAGCCAAGTGTGAAGGGAAAAAAACACCTGGACAGTTAAAAAAGGAGAGGAGAGAAGGCATAGAAGGGACTTCATACAGATGTGTTTTCAGCTGAATTTGAAGAAACTGTGAGCTGGATGAATATTCATGGGGGGTGGGTGGGTGGGGGCACTTTACCAAGCCCCAGGGCTCCACACTCACCACAAATGCAGGACCTCAGCACCGACAGCTACCAATCATCATCTGAAATCATTTACTTGTTATGTTGACACAAACACTGTAATTTCCAATGCCCTTCCTTTATTCAAGTGATCCCATTCACCAGGAACGACTGACTGAGCTGATTGGAGTTTTTCCTGGTGTGCAGAGCAATCACTAATCAAGTGCTGCATGCACAGAAAACGAATGAACTGTTTACAAATCTGTGATGATTGTTCATGCTGTTTTTAAAGGTTACGAAGTGTGTAATAGCACCGACTAATATGGTAAGAATACACTTTTAATATTTAAATTTGATAGATAGATAGATAGATAGATAGATAGATAGATAGATAGATAGATAGATGGATAGATAGATAGATAGCAGCACAAACAATTTCCCTGACTTTGTAAATCTTTTCACAACATTCACATTTGTAATTAGGTAGCAGATCTATTTTCGGTGCCTTATGCTGAGATTTATTATTTTCTAAATGAAACATAATTCTCTGGCACAGTACCTCACACTGTTATATATATATATATATATATATAGGGGAAAATCCTTTACATTAAAAACAAATGTGATGGAATTTAGAAAGTGTCTAAGAGAGTGAAAGAAGTCAAGTCAGTAAATTCAATGTATAATAAGAACTGAAACGTCCACAATTAACTATAGTGTAGAATAGTTATTTTTAAAAATGTCAAGCTTAAAGTATCTCAAGCTTTAGGTTGCCATATCACCATACACTGAGTCAGAATGCAGAAAGGATAGGTGGCAGTGTGGAGTTACTGAGATTTGAGCAGCGTCATGTTCCACAGCCCCAAACCGGTGATTCATACCAGTCTCATCACTACCAACAGACAGGACATCCAGGCCTTTATTGCCGCCATCCATCACCATCACTTCATCAGTCTGAGGTCCTGTGAGCCAGCTCCCCAACCAGTCCCCAAACAGCCATCCCAACGTGCTGCTGGAGAGAGATTTACACCAACCAACTAACACCCTGTTCCTCTCTCGCTTTAGCACACTCATGTGAACACACACACACACACACACACACACACAAACACACACACACAAACAAGAGAAATGAGCCTCTGCGCAGTTTTAGACACACACTGTGTCTGAGGCAGAGGAGGAGCGAGAGAGTAAAGGCCATTCTGCAGCCAGACATGGTGCGATGCTGCTCCCCAAAGGGTTCCCTGCTGACAGGCTATCTTGCATTCTGCAAGCCACTTACACTTCAGCCATATCATACCACCTGCTGGTGCTGACCACTGTCTCAGAGTTGTGTAGCATGATGGCTACACTAAGCTTTGGGAGAAATCATTATATTATTCGCACAGCTTTCCCCAGAATTAAACCTCACAAACCTGTAAACACACACAAGTACACACAGTTGTATTGTCTTTTCTGTCTGGCACAATATCTTGGACGTCTGCTCTTCTGTGTAAAGCAGTCCAATACAGTCCAGCTCTTCCTGGTTCTGGGATGATTTGTGGACCTCAGCATTGTTCTGCAATTTCCATTGTTAGCTAATCCAGTGATAATGCCAGTGTTTGTCCTTTCAGTCTGACTTCCAAACTCTGCCACTGTGAAAAACTGTGAAGTAGAGACGTAATGGTTATCATGTTATTTACGTATATATTAACTCTTTTTGGACCCTTTAGGAGGCGTTGTAGGGTGTGAAATACGGCAAAAGAATGAACAAATCTCAAATCTCACAAATCTCATTCACCTATACATACAGGTTATTTCTTGCAACACTGACATGTGACGGCCGAACCATGATACAGCGATGGGCGACCTTAAATAACAATAGGTCCAGCTTTGTTTTCATGCAAACAAGAACAAGTATATAGAAGACATTTGTTCTTATTAAAAATATTTTACAACATTTTCCTGAACATGAAGTGTTTTTGTGTTTCTTTTAATTTTCAAAATTCATCCAACAGGCTATACGTTTGAAACCCCTGGTGTAGATGTAAGACATGCATGTGTATTACAAGAGGGGTTCCCAAACTTTTCCAAGCCAAGGCCCCTTCAAACAGCATTAG